TCCCTCAAACTTAACTGGAAAAACCCTCTCAAATATTCTGTACATTTTTTCTTTTTACAAAACATTTGAAAATGCCAATCCTATAAACTGATACAAAAATATAATCTCTGGAATATTTTCCTAAAACCATGAAAAGTTCTGTTTCATGCAAAAACATACTATACAACTTGTGTCATTTCAGAATTGCCCCCCTGCCCAGACAAGGTAATTGATCTTAGGTGCAAAATGAGCTGTAAATGCAGTATTGCTATAGCAATCTTACTTGAGCTCCTATAGCTGATCATCATTTAACTTTTAAAAGCCTTTTACATTTGGCCTAACCTATGGTCAGACTACTGTGGCCATTCCTACCCTTTGTAAAAAGGGCAAAAATAAAGGCCTTTCAAAAGTCCTCTGTCCTCTTCAATGAGTTACTTTTTTGTTCTATGGCATTGTACTAGTGCAGTGATTTTCATCTTGTGGTCTTAGCTCATCTAGAAACATCTGTGAAAGGTTAACTACAAAAAGCAAACCTATTGTTCTAAGATAATCAGGTCCTTTGTCTTTAATTCAGCACTGAAGCCAGTGTAGGCTTCAGAATACAAAGGCGTAACCCATTCAACTGATTGGGGTCCAGGTACCAACAAATCTTGCTTCTGGTACACTTGATTCCAACAGTGCATCAGAGCCTGATTCTCAGGGTATATATGCTGGCAATTAGAAGGACCTTAAATAAACAGTATTACCCTCATGCCAAACTGTGTTCTAAAAGAACTGTCAATTCTTTTATAAACTAAAAGGTGCTACTCTGAAATCCAAATTGAATATCCTCTTGCCAAGACCATATTTTAAAAATATTATTCACCTAACATTTACTTATGTTTTGCATTCTGATATTCTTCAAATCAAGGAGTAGATAAGGGAGTCTGAAGAAACTTCACACATAAATATGAGTTTATTCTTTTTCTCTAACGAAAACTGGTATGTTAAATTAGGTTTCTTAATAGTATTAATGTGTAGTACTTCTGAATCCTGAAATGGGGCAGAGCAAGTACATCAAAAATATACTCAGTCATCTTTCCTTATACCAAGTGCTCCCAATTAATATATTAATGGGCATTAAAAGCAGAGATTGTTATATGTGTCTTTGTGATGTTTATCCTTTTTTTTTTTTTTCCATCTAGTTTCCTGTTTTTCAAGTCGTTACAACTATATTATATATGAAAAGCACTGTCAGTTTTCAAAGCAGTTTACCATTTTTCTCCTTTGAATCTTCACAATACCAGTGGTAAGAAAATAGTTCTCCAATTCCTTCCCCAAACTGCAGCAGGGAGGAAAAGTGAATTGCTCAGTATAGCAAAGGAAGTTGGGCATGGTGAGTCTGAGCGCTTGGAAATTCATGTCTTAAGGACACTAGAATTTTTTCAATATGTATTAAACAACTTCTCCTTTAGTGATGTAGTATAGTGATGCTGCAACATACCATCAAAACTGCTATTGCACTATGTCATTTAACATGAAACAGGAAGGATTTTTGCATAGGAAGGAACAGAAGGATCAGAACCCAATGGCAGAACAACAGTTTCTTGGTGCTAATCAAAACCTGGACTCTCATTCTAAAAATTGGGAAAAATACCTTTTGCTGTTTGAAGGTTTTTCTTCCCTGTTAAGATAAACAGCTACTGCAGACTTCTCTGAATGGCAAATTTGAACTTCATATTTGAAGACTCTAGTGCTACACAAATACTAGTTCTAGATACAAATTGTACTGGGTAATTTGGTTAATCAATGATATTGTATCAGTAAGTCTATGTGCTGTGTGCTTTTGTGAATAAGCTGGTTTCATGGTTGCCCCCCCCCCACCTTTTACCAATGAACAATGACCAGGTGCTTAGAAACTGTGTCAGACATTTATAATGCTACGTGTTAAGACAGATTAAATACTATACATGCTGTTATGGAAGTAGAAGTGTTTAAAATTATTTTTACTTTGAAATTCTGGTTGTTAGGACTTAGTGTTTTATATCTTCAAATCACTTTAGAACCATGAAGTAATTAGTGCTCAGAATATTCCCAAATTAGCACGATTAAGCTCCTTTGTAAAAGTTATTTCTTTTTTGTCAGAGTCTGATTGGGAAAAAAAGGTTTCTAGGGTCTAGAACAATTTTCAGCCAATATTTATCCCTGATTGCTTGTCCTCCTTCTTCTCCTTGTGGCTGTATTTATGTTCAGATTGAACTGTCTTTACCTTTCTCATTATTATCTTCTTATAAAGACATCAGTTATACTTGTGTCTTAGGCTAAATAAATCAAACTCTCCTGGTCCTATCTTGCAGAATTGCATCCACTTTACTGATACCATTTTAGTATCTTTCCTCAAAATCTAGCTACTGCAATTTCACTTAATTATTTGGCCTCTGCACAGTGGCTTGAATACTTCTCCATCCCAACCGGAAATTTGTCTCCTAGAGCAGGCTGAGCTTTCATGATTCTATCAAATTGCATCTGAGTCATCTTGTGACAAACTCTATAATCATGGTCCTTTTATTATCAATTAACAAGAAATATAGCAAAATACTTTGTTTAATCTTCAAGCGCGTAAGCTAATATTTGTACTATAAAATTTCATCCCATTCATTTCATCCCCTTCAGTGTTCAAAGTCTTCCAGGGTTTTTTTTTGTGTGTGTGTACCCTGATCCTTCTCCGTTTTTTTTTTTTGTGTGTGTACCCTGATCCTTCTCTGGATTAGTGCCTCCCAACTTAACATCAACCCCAGCCTCGTACTATCTGTGCTTCAGCCATTAATGAAAATGCTAAGCAAATTTAGTTACAAGACTGATACATAAGAAATTCCACTTGCAGCTGCCACCCAACCCCCACTTTCTTTTCAGTGTTGCCTTCTTTCCTTTAGCCAACTGCTTACAACACCTCATCATCATGCTGGTAGTTTCCATTTTCTCCATCTCGACTGTGTTTTCCGTATTTTCCACACTTCCAGTGTATCAGATGCTCCAGATCTATGAAATCTGCACTTGCTCAGTTCTGGCAGGCCTGATTCTTACTTTGCTTTTAGCCATGGGAATTCTTAGCAGACCTAGCAGACCTAATCTACTCTCTTTACTTGCAGGTTGGCTTGTTCTTTGCCCTCTTATTTTCCACGTGAACCGTTTTTTTCCAGCACTGGATTCAAACCTTGCAATTTTACAGCATCAAAACAGTTTTTCTTTTCTACTTTAATAGGAAGTCTGCAGTGAAACCACATCTGTAGCCAACACTGCACAAACAGGAAGAGTTTAGCTCTACACTTGCCAGTTTGAGCTGCTATCAAAAACAACTTTCCCCTTACAGTTTAAACTTCTGACTGCTCACCGCTCCATACAAATATCAGAACTTAAATTGTTCAACAGAGCTTAGAGCTGAGGAACTAAAGAGTATAACAGAAAAATAAGATCATACCTTCTTTCCTTATAATATAAACCAACTTTTAATAATAAAAACTTCTATCACATTTTCAATGAGAATAACATGTACATTTCAATGTCAAACAGTGCACAGTGTAAATGCCCTTAGATACTCTTCTATGCATCTTTAATGTTTACAATGACTGCATAAGCGTGGGCCAGGATCCTCACCAGGCTGTGTAAATTGCTGCAGTTCCGCTGAACAGAGCTGATGCAGACAAAGCGAGGATCTTGGCCTATATGTTCTTTTTATTTTTGGGTGTTCCTACAGTTCTTATAATACTAAGTACATTTTAAGTTGAGGATTCAGTAAAGAAACACCCGTTTCTTCTTCAAACAGCAAATGGTGAGAATAACTCTTCCAAAATTAACAAAAAGTGCATTGAAATAATGATCTGCTCATCTGGCTGCAGTACAACATGGATACTCAGTAACAAACCCCTGTAACCCACAGCTGGCAATTGATGGGTTGTCCTAGTTCCCTGCAACAGGTTGCTGTAGTCAGAGGAAACAGAAGTAAGACATTAAACACATTGCTTCCCCAAAATTATTTCAGCCTGTGAGTGAAGAAAAAAAAAATTAAAAAATTAAGAAACAAGGTTCAGAACAATCTGCATGCCCAAACTTGTCATAAGCCATTTTGTGTTGCAAAGTGTAGATTAAAAAATTTAAGAGACCTTCATATCCAAATGGAAAAAGTCTAATTTTAATTTTTGAGTTGGTTTGGATGTTACTAAGATAAAATTAAGCCAGTTAAAAAACGAACAACGTCACATATAAAACCCCCAAACCTTTATTTTCTAGAATATACATCACTGCAAAGCGCTTCTGGATCTCCTAACTATGAATTGTTTTAAACAAGGCCATGGAGAAACAGAGGAATGGTAAGTTTCCTATACACCCTTCTACTGACACCTGCTACAATTGAAATTCGTTAGGGATGGGTGGTCATATTAAGGCACTCACTCCAAAAGAACACTATTTCTGTCCTGAGACTGCTGACATGTTTCAACTAGTTTCAGCCAGTAATTTGGAAAAAATTACTGTGCTTAGGATAATACTGACAGAATGGAGAACAATTTTTCAAACAAGAAAAAAAATAAAGTACATTATATACATGATTCCTTTTTTCTTTTAACTTAAAAGCATCCCTAATACATTTTAATAACTGTATTAAAGACTACTTAAATATTGAAAGATTTTAAATAATGTAGATTTTTTTCAGTAAACTGGGAGTAGCTGTGTAATTGCCAGCATATTGGTCCCACTTTAAACAATATAATTTTTATTTAAATCTTGTATATATAATAACATGATCGAAAACACATATTCCACTCCACATAAATAAGTATAGTTCTTCTGACCTGTTTTAAAAACTACATCTGTTCAAATAATCAGATTATAAGACTGTATTTTTCCTTTGTAAAGTTTCCTTTAAAATCCTTCACTCCCAATCTCTTCTCTTAAATAGTACTGTATTTCCAGAGTACATAATAGGGCATTAGTAAAAAGAGTTAATCAAAAACCTGAAAGCTACAGTAAGTAAAATGAAGTAATGTTAAGAAGTATTATGGAATGTATACTCTGCAGCATAGAGAGATTGGTTCTCACTGGGCTGAAGTGGAAAGTTTCCAGAAGAAATTCTTTATGTTCGTATTTGAATAAACCATAGATTGTGCTATTCGTTGTTCAAAAGTGCAGGTCAGTTCATGAAAAAGTGGTGTTTATGAAGCTACTGCTCAAGGACGCTGATCAAAATTATGCTGGCAATTAAATGGATGCCAGATGCAGTACAGGGAGAGAGATATGCGTTATTCTGGATTTTTTTAACCGTCTCTTGAAGTCCACAACTTCTAGGTGGCAGCACAAACAAGTCATCAGTAAAACTGCGCTTTCTTGAAATATAATTGTCACTTTTCCAGGCATCTAGCAAATGGCAGTAACATCCATCTTAGCTCTATGGTGTTTGTTTCAAGAATTTCTTCAAGAAGTCAAAGCAATACAAGAATCCCTGCAGGTGCTGCAGGAGTTCAAAGGCAGATTCTTGGTGCCTGGGTCCAGCAGGTTCATCTCCTACTAAACCAGAGCAATATCTCTTCCTCTCTTGATTCAGCGCCATCAGTGTCAGTTAGCATGGGTCCTCAGACAGGGCTGCTCATAGTTGAATGCTTTAAGGATGCTGCGATGTAGGTGCCTCTCTCACTTCTATAAATCCCCATCTGTAGGTGGCTGGCACAACCTATAGAGTCTTTAAGGCAGATGACGAGTATAGTATTAAATATCATAAGGATGATAACATAAAGTCACTGGCATAGTATATGAAAGTCAACTTCTCCTTTATCATTCTGCAAGCTTTAGAGATAATCTGCCATCAAGAATACCACTATTTTTAATTGTAATAATTGCAAATTTAGAAGTGCCACTAGTGATTTATTAACTGAAGTATTTACAATCATTGTTTAAATACTATTTGAGACTTTCCATCACTCCCTTTTAACTTTGGCCCAACTTGGGTCTTCAACAGTCCCTTCTCTCATTTCTTTTGTTTTAAACCCAGTTCAGCATTTTTCCTGACAAAAGAGTTCACCCCTCACACGGATTGGGATACCAAACAGATAAAAGAACATATTTGCTTGTTGATATGGTTGAACAAACTTCAAAATAAGTAATCATGTTTTCAGAGAAATTTTTTGAATCACATGATTAGCAAATTGAAACCAGTGGTTAAGCCTAAGCGCACCTTGACTGTCATTCATATATGACTGTTTGTGGTAGCTTTTTCTTGGCTTTTTCTACTTTACATTTGAATAAACTCAAGTCTTTTATAACTTCTCTTTCAAGATTGCTACTGCAGAGTTTGACAAACCTCAATGCTAGGAAATATAATCCTGAGAATTAACATTAATTCACCAGATCTCCTTTTAAATTTGCTCAGTTTTGATGATGGAACCCAGTAGGAACACATGTATCTGAGCTTTATTGCCCTGAAACAATCTAAGTAAATAGTCCTGGAATTTGTCATTGTGATTTAGAGTGTATATGAAAGAAGAGAATGCCTCATCTTATGATTTGTTTGTAAAGCTGTTTCTTTTTGAACATAGCATGCTGTTATGGACATAAAAATGGAACCAAAGTAATGTACGGCCATTAATAAGGCAAAATAACCATGGTGCTAAAACACTGATGTATGACACTGGGGACATGGTACAGGGGCCACCTCAGACTATTATTTTATTCCTTTTTGAAACAGCAATTACAATCCAAAAGAAGGATAAGGTTCTAAATGCAAAATATTGTTCTTTTTAAGGTCTCTGAGAAAATAGACCAAGGCCAGACTGTCACAGTAAGCATCATCACAGTCTCTAAAGTTTAAAATAATTTCCTATAAACATTTTGAGGAGCAGATGGGGGGGGAAGGCAGAGACTAGTTGTTTAGACTAACTCAGAAGTCTTAATGGGTGAATAAGGTATCAGTGTTTTAAGGAAGTCTTCTTGACACTGAACTAATATGTTCTTTGAAGGACTCTAGCACTAGCAAATACACTCGCTCTGTCTGAAGGGATGGCACAAACTTTATGGATCTTTTCCGATGCTGATTCCTGCATGCCAGAACTGTTTTGCCTTCACGTGAACAATGCCATTAACAAGAGTAGAATCAGAAGTTTCTCTGATATTTGCACAGACTGATTCTGTATATATCATCATCTAAATTGTGATGATTTGTTACTACCATTGTGGGAAAATGCTGTGTTACAGTTTACCAAAGAATATTCTCTTCTCTCTGATATATGAAATGGGAGGAAATTGACCAGAAAGAGATAATTCTCTTACAAATAAAAGTATTCTTATCCTGTAGAGAGAGATGATGAACATATCTAGCTCCCATTAGGTGCAGTACGATTCACAAATCTACAGTGCTTTTCAAAGTTGTCTTCTAGTCAAAAACATATATAAGCCTGGGCAACTGATCTTCCTTAGAGCTGCATTACTGTATGGTTACTCTGACTTGAAGTGCTTGCTCTTAAACCTGCTCTGCCATAACTAAACAGTCAAGCTCGTCTAAGCACACAATAGTATTAGCCTACAAATTATCTTTGCATATCTGCAGTGAGATTTGCCATTCAGGAATTTTATTTTCTAAGCATTCCACAGATGGCTGTCAATCACTAGCTTTGCCAACTCACAGCAACAGTCCAAAAAAGACCCTTATCTCTGATCAGTTATGTTTTATTCAGAAAATGCAGAAACCTTTGAAGTTAATGATCTGCAAATCGTAAGCAGCAAAGCTGATTAATCAGCAGTGCACTTAGTTTAGTACAGTGAGAAAGAAGAGCAGGAATTTTTTCTTTTTTCCACTATTACTACTAAGGAGATCTTTGGTTATAACAGGAGCTCCACAATTGTTACAGAAACATAAAACCAGCACTCAGATAAAATGCATAATACGTAATAACCTACCGAGGTGCACACTGTGGCATTTGGTCCATCACTTTCAGATTCTTGGCAGAGATTTCAACCCTTGGTCCCTAAGGAAACAGAGAATTTATGGTACTGAAGTATCGATAAAGCATCTGATCCTTAGGGGAAAATATTATAACGGGAGTATGGTTTCTATTTAAGAATCCATTAACTACTTTTAGAAGATTTGGAATCCATTGCGTGGATACATTAGTCATCTGTGTTTACTTAAAAGATGGAATTAGTCCCAAAGCACTTTACAAGCACTGCTGTCTAGGACTAAGGAATTTCTACTATTTAACACTGTGATTGAGACTTTTTTTTTAATACAGAAATTGTCTTAAATATACTGGATAGTCTTTACTTTCTAACCATCAAGGCACACACTTTAAATAATCTACACTGAGGCACATATTTTGATTGCTGTAATGGCTATACATGCAAAAGTTAATTTGTTCCTGTCAAATATATGTGTAGCTATTCAGACATTAATAGAAGTTTGGCTATATGCGTTTGTAGTGCACAAAATACAATGCCACATCGAAATAAATTGGTGTTTGTACAGTGATGTTACTGGAATGAAAACAGTAGCATGTAGCAGACACACATCCAAATACTTACTTGCTTTCGCATGATGTCTGTAGCTTGCATGATACACTTGGGCAAAAGTCCATGACTTCGAGCCAGTATGGCTGCTTGCTCCAGGGACACACTCAATGTACTTCTGAACATGGGAACAAGAGATATTAAATCACAGATCATATTTAAAAAGATATAAATAGGTATGTACAGGACACTTACCTGTTAAGTATGACTTCTGTTAGCTAGTGTTCTTATATTTACTTTTTTAGGTTTTTTACTTACAAAACTATAAAATTACCTCAGTCCTGCATTTCCAGTCTCGTTACACCTAGATACTGCAATTGTTTGAGTCTCCAGCATCATTACTACAAGGCTATGTTTCACTGCTCTTCTGCATTATATATATAGTTATATACATATAAAGTTATTCACAAATGAATGTTTTCTTTACTCAATGGTTTTGAGACACTGGAAGAACAGTAGTGTGTTTAGAATCAATGCTTGCACACACCAAGTTTCTACAGCTATTTTTGAGCAACTTCCTACATTTTCAGTGTGTGATTGAAGACAACGTTGACAGAAAGTTATATGCAATGAGATCACTCAGTCAGTTGCATTGGTTGATGCACTGAAACATAAAAAAGTTTATGTGTCAATACTAATTATTAACAAAAGTATTAGAAGTCACAACCTACCCTAAAATAAAGATGGCAGTAGATTTAGGTCCTTATTATATTCCCTTACAATGTACCTTTCTATTGCTTTGAACAGAATCAAATATATTGCTCAAATCTCTAGAAAGGACGGAAGTTCTCATCACACCAGTAACACATGGTTTCTTAAATCGCACCTCTGCATCCCAGTGCCGCACATAGTAATCTGACAGGCTCCAAGTCGATAACAGAGCTCAGAAGATATAGGTAGCAGGCCAGCTCCTGATGTGTTACTGCTAGAATATCCTGACTGGGTTGGTTTTGTATTAATGAAAGACTTCATCAGCCTGCACAGCTCATCCATTGCATTAATGGGGCGAATAAGCTAAACAAAGCAATAAAAAAAATGCATCAGTGGCATACTTACACCTTCAGTTATAAAGACATTTACAATTCTTTATGCTATGTCTAAGCACAATAATCTACACAAGAGTAACTGCCACAGAGTAACAACTGTTTAGAATATATATGAACTTTGGAAGTGGAAAAATACAATTACTTAGGCTTGGGGCAATTTTTTACAATTATCACAAATCACATAGGTTGTTTACAACGTATATTACAATTGCAAAGATAGTCTCTGATTTTGCCTTCCTTGCAGTAGTATTTAATGCCTTACATGCATATATTCATGTATGTCACCTGCCCCAGTTAGAAAGACTGCCTTTATATGAGATGTTGGGAAGTACTATTTTCCTGTTGTTTTCTTCGATAACTGTGAAAAAAGCATAACTTGCAAATTGAAGGTTTGTTCATTTTCATGCATCTGTGGGAGAGGAAAATTAATCCATTCTGTCTAACATCAGATACTGTATTTAGCAGGGGCAGTCAAGGGTGATATGGAGTCTTATTAGTGCCTGAGTTAAGGGTTTTGTGTCTACCCCAGTTCTGCACATTTTCTTCTAAACAAAAGAACTGTAGCCAAGGTTCAGAGAAATTCAGATCACTTCTTCAGGGTAGGGAACATTTTTTAAATGATGTTTGGGTTTGTACAGGTCTGCCATATAAGTATCAAGTGGGATTTTAGAGATGTAGAAATAATACCTCTATGAGACAATTTATTGTAGAAATAAACACAATAACAATACCTGGTCAATCTTCACTGCAGTAGTATTGGAATCAGTGGGCAAGTTTGATCTCTCTAGGTAAAATGTCCTGCAAAAAGGCCACCAAGGACTACATTAGTTGGTGTGTCTCATTTCAAGCACATATATGTATACTATCTTGTATAAAACATCTGAGAAAGCTATGCTAAAATTCTTGTACTTCAAGATCTACTTTCTTATTGAACCATTTTGATTGCAGTAATTCACAGAGTCTGTACTAAAATATTCCAAATCCTCTTTTTTATGTAATTTTAGCTTTGCACAAAATTCTGAAGCCAAATTAGATGGGAATTTCATCCTGGTCAGTGCACTACTTCAGAACGAGCTTAACTATGGGAAGAAAATTAACAAGTTTCCCACACTATGAGGATCTCCAAAAATCATATTTGTACAAGAAACCATCAGGAATGAAATCTCTTTTTCATTAAATTTTAAGGTCCTTAGCAAGGAGCACTCTTTTCAGTGTCTTTTAAGGCAAAGGAGAACCATGAAATACCTGAGTTTACGGTAGTATTGCTGCACTTTTTCAAGTGAAATACCATTAATTAGCTGTGGAAGTTCTTCTAGAGATGAGCCAGCTGGTTGTGATTGCCCCTCCATACTCTCCAGAGCTGAAGAAGAAAACATTTTACTAAACCTATGTTATTAGTTTTCTTTTTATTCATTTATTTATTTATCTCTATATCACCTCACTGCTCAGCAAATGACTGTTGGATCATGTCAAGGCTGATTCTGTTACTGCATAAATTTAATGCATTTCCCAGTATGGGAATATAGTGGTAGTATCATAAAGGTGAGCTTCACAGAAAGCTGTCCTATCAAACAGCAATTACTCCCCATTAATATCCCCTTGAAGAAATTTCCTGTATTGTATTTTGGTGCAAATATTTGCTTATCAAATCAATTTCCAGCCCAGATGATTCTGTCATGTGTATGCTTTTAAAAACACTTCTTTGTAGCCTGGGAACATCTCCTGATACCCTGCTAGATCAGATTGTCCATGTAATCCAATATAAGGTCCCCATGGCCTTTACAGGAAGGCATAAAAAAGCCCCAAACAGCCATATCTTGTTCTCATGAGTGTGTCTTATTCTAAAATCTAGCACTCCCCAGGTCTTCCTAGAATAGAAACATCTGCTTCTTAAATATGTCTGTAGTTCTCACTGCATTATGCTAAGAGCTTCATGGTCATTCTTTATTTTGAATCTTTCAACATCATCAGTTAGCTTATTTTTCTCAAGAAAGCTTTTTATAGACACCTTTTGTAAAGAGCACCGTGTGCAGTTTCAAGCTGCCCCCATTCTGAAACCGAGAAGGCAGTTTGGAGAAGTAGTAGCTGTCAAGATAAAAGATAACCTTCAAGGCCTGACGACTTCCTTCGATGTGGTAGAAGACATGAGTATCTGGAAAAATAAAGATAAAATACTTGCTGCTTTACCACAGCAGGAGAAATGCGAAACCATTGCTATCTGGGTTTGTTGGATTATCTAATGGCATTTCACATCTCCACCATTAGATGAACAAGAGAGAGCTTTTATTGAGAGAATGCAGGCTCTGAAATATTATACTTTAAAAGATACACAGTTAGCATGACCTAGCATGATGTTTGATGCTAATACAATAAACATGGTTAATAATTAAAATCCCATCTTGTTTCATGGCATCTCATCCTCAGTAAACATGGAGAGAGATCTGGCAGAACACAGAAGAGCTGGGGAAGGACAGTGCTTCTACTTTAGGCAATGTGGTGAATTACAAGCATCTGTCAGGAACTGCTCATCATCTGTCATATCTCCCTGTGTGCGAAATCACACAAGTAAGGTACACTGGCACAGACCATAGTTACAAATCACAGAACATGCCACCAGCATCCCACGATGTCAGTCCTGCTTTTTATGCTGTGTGTTTGCAGGGAAGCTGAGGGAATGCAACAGTGCTTCAGAGAAGCTGCTCAGTGCTCTCCCGGTCTGACATAGTCTGTTAGATTTATAATCATGGAGGATATTAACCTATAAAACAAACAAGAAAAAAAGAGCTTCAAAGAAACAGAGAATACTCACTTGCTACAAGACTTTCATCCAGCTGCTTGAAATAGAAGGCAACTTTGTCCAGTTCAGTCAGAGTGACCTGGATATCTTCCAGCATGGTACGCTCCTCCTTCTGTAGAGCAAAGAAACAGATATAAACAGGTTATAATCTGCCAGAAAGAGATCAATGGCAGGAAGGTATAGTTGTAATGGGCATGCTTTGGTTCAGGAGACCTAGAGCAGAATGTGGAGCTTTCCATTAACTCCATGCCAGCCAGGTAATTACTAATGGGTCTTTAACTTTGTGATACAAGTTTAGCTACCCTTTGCTTAGATGTCATTGGATGTGATTCACAGAGAGTAGAGAGGTTTAAGGACTGAAGTTTGAAGGGATCTCTTTCTCCAAACTTTACTCTGTATCTACAAATGTGAAGAACAGCCTATCAATTACTGCAAAATAAATGTCCATACACGCCATGCAATGTGAAGAAATAGTAGTTACATACGCATATAGTTTGGATTGTATTTTAAAAAACCCCTCACTCAATCTACAATGTTTACAAAGTCCAAAAAAATGTCGCTTCTCTATAGCATCAGAGCTACTTGTCTTTTTTATGCTCCTCTTTTCTTAACATTTTTACAGTTGCAGTAGCTTATCTACTGTAGCTGTGGCTTACCTGTTCATTAGGTGCAGATGAACTATGCAAGACCAGCTCCTCTCCTCCTTAGACATGGTGCCTCAAATACCAGCACCACGTAAGTGAGAGAGAGACTGCAGTCTATCTATTCTATAAAAGTACCCAGTCTATGAAGAAAAGCCTAGATTTTCATGTTGTCCGAACTCAAAATACTCAGAACTTTTTCACCTATTTGTTGAAATGCGTGTTTTCACCAGAAGATGGCAGGCCACGCATGCATCACCAACAACTGAGCAGTAAAACTTCCCTAAATGCAGCAGCATTAGTCCAAATATGAAGGTAGACAGATTCCTATAGTGTTCTAGTGTGACAGTGGGTCCAGTATTTGTGAGGAGATGAAATCTATGGGATATGGAATATGGGGACTCAGGAATCTGCAGAGGTTGCTGTAGTGAGAGTCTAAACATGCTGCTAGTGTGAAGGGCTCTGGCTGTGCTGTGAGTGGCAGAGAAGCATACACACAAGTGTGAGCAGACCCAAGGGTGCCACAACTCTTCATCTTACCACAGCGGGGGAGAGAAGAGACTGGTAGTTTAGTAAAACACCAGTGGCTGCTATCTGTTCCAGCCATTTTCTGCTGGCGTCTCTGCTGCTCTCTTCGTATTCCCCATTGTTGTTGTATCGATAGTTGAGAGCTGCCAGTAACTGCTCTGAAAAGGTGCAAATAGCAGCCACAAGAGACTGACAGAAGATGGAATCACGTCTCAGCTGTAGCTCAGTATCTGCCAGAGAAGGGGAGAGAAGCATAAAGAAGTCATGAGTATAGTTGTCTTTAATCTCACTGCCAAAGAAGCAGTTTGTGTGTGTGTGTGCATGATGTTTGGCTTCTGCTGCAGCTTTGCACAGACTTAACAGATAACCTCTTCTTGCTGTGTGACCTGTGTGTATAAAGACAGCATAGCTGGAGTACATGCAGTCTGAAAATTTTCTAGTCCGCTTGGCTGTTTATTACCACCTCTGCCATCTGCATGCTCATTCTTCTGACAGGGAAGAGCTGTAACTCTTTAGTGCCATATCTGGACTGATTCCCTTCTTTTTATGTTTACAGAAGCAAGAGAATTTCTGAAAGCAGATCTCTGCCATTACTTCTCTCCTGGGCTATTAGAGATTCATCTTCCCCCATCCATCTGTATTTTGTGGGCTTTCCATATGCTTAATGCATTAACTGGGCCTGCCCATACAGTACCAATTGGTTTATGTTTCCTGGGAGAATTTTCCCTGTGTTAACTTTGCTTCCAGTCTGCCTGCCAGGCAGCCACATGCTGGTCAAATCAACCTCATCACACTTAAGGGGATTGCAGGCCAAAGAGGCACATGAATAAGTGAAGAGCTACTTCGCAGGCACCCTGGGCTCCTCCAGCAGACACTGCAGTACAGCAGTCTCTCATTGTCAAGGCAGAGTTCCCCAGAGAAAGAAGCTGAAGACATCACCCAGAGGCTTTGAAGTTCTGGATTATTTTTATAAAGCACTGAACACAATAGATTGACTAATACACTCCAGGCCCTGGGCCATATTCTCAACTTAAGGGCAAGCAATCCTTCTAGCAGTACACCTCTGTACTGCTGGAAGTAAGGCAAAGAGAGCTTAGGACTGCCCCTCAAGGCAAGGGAATCCCTGGTGCCATAAAGCTGCCATAGACAGTTCAGTGCCACCTGCTCTTCCATTCTTTCCAGAGGATGTTCATGGAAATGCTGCAGGAGATGGGGCACAGATAGAGACTTAGGGAGTCATTTTATCTGCTATCAGTAAAAACAGCTTTTATGGACATTAGACTGACGCCACAGGCTGGTTTGGACAGACTCACGGACCAGCCCTGGCAGGAGCTGAGAGATGACTTAGAGCCATACAAATCTCTCATCTTCATTCTGTGAAGACTTCAGAATCAAGTCTGGCACAGTGAAATAACGACAGCCTACTCCAGTTATTGACTACCTCATTTTCAAACAAAAGTACACCAAGTAGGTGTTTCAATTACAGAAAGACTGCACATTCACTCCTGGGAAAGGCCTGTCCCTTGATCTGCGAGCACAATGTTTTGTGCATGGTAACAGATTAACGATGTTCACAGTGTATTTAGGTGCTGCCTGCACATTTAGGTTCTTAGTCTGCTCCTGGCTATAATTTCAGTACACACAATCCTAACTCCTAACACGCCTGCTCTGTTTGGAAAGATGACAGAGTCCATGGTCTCACAGAAAGTTATGCAATAGGTCTCATTTTTGCTGCATGTTCTCACCACAGCAGGAAACAGTAAAGGCCATCTGGGAAGGAGGATCGTACTAAGGAAAAAATGAAGACAGTAAAAAGAAAAACAGTGTTTGTGAAACATCAGCAACCAGCCAGGTAACACAAAGCAGCCTACAGTGAACTGACATAATGTAAACTGAAGAACAGATGTCAGATGGATGGAAAGGTTGCCCTAGATGCAGAGCATGAGAAATGTTAGCATACAATGCCAGGGAAAAACCTAAATGCTAAGGAAAAACATAACATTCTGATGTATGCACATGCATAGGGACTTCTGTATATATGATGTTGTTTTGAAACAAATCAAAACTCCTTACCTGCGCATTTTAACAAGGCCAAAAGCAGCTGATTCTTCCCATCTAAAACAGCGAAGAAAAGGAATGCTCTAGTCAACATGATACCATGGTAGATTTGATTGCATTTGGTTAACAGTCTCCTCATTCCCCACAATCCCTGGCCCCTGCGTGGCCATTTCTATTTATTCTAGTAGTCCTTACTCACACAGACATGTTAATGACTGAAAAAGAAACAAGGTGTAAATCAAAGAATTTTACAGGCTAAATGCTCTGTTAACTACCATAAATTATTGGAAACAAATTGTACATGTAGATGAATCCCTAAGGAGGTGATTTCTGTCCAGTGAACTGTAAACATCAGATTCAGCTCCTGTTCCAGTTCAACCAGACTGCAATGGTTTAGGATGTTGTAGTATCTGATTAGCATTCATTTCGTTTTGGAATACACCAAGCATCTCTCTCTCCATTTTCTAAAAGGGTTAAAAAAAGCACAGGGAAATAGATCAATCCAATATCATTCTGTCTTAATGGGCTGATGAAATAACGTAAAGGAGAGAAAGTCCTTTGGAATTGCTGCACAGGTGAAATTTTACCATACAGCACTGGGACTCTGCAAACAATAACCCGTTTTACCTGTTCTTCTCTAGAGCTCAGTACAGCCTTATTACAAATTGAGATAAAATGATAAAATGAACTGCTAGACTTGATTAGATCAAGACCTTTTCTCCCTGAAGCCGATAACAAACTTTTCCTTGCTTACAGACCTTCCACATGTTTTTGTATGATTTCAACAAGGTTCTTGATGCGCAATGGAAGGTTCCATGGGTCTTCCTGAATGCTGGCTTGAATATTATTCCGGCACCTAACTGTGGTTTCTTCCTTCTGTTTAAATTCTAGAAAAAAATGGAGTTCATTCGCCATTAAGGAAATGCTACATAGCTGAGAGTGGCTTATGAGTTATAACGTGTATACAGATGAAAGCAGAGATACAGTATCAATAGCAACAGCTGTGAATGAAAAAGGTTCTTAAATAGATCCAATACAGACGGAAAAAAGACTATTCCTATAATTTCACGATCAGCAGTCTCCTAGCATTGTTTTCAGGATTGTGGACTAAAAGTTATGTACATGGGTGACATGCACAGTGAAAGGAGCTCTGCACTACTCACAAAGCACAGAATTCCCTTCTGTTTTCACTGCTTTTAATAATGTGCAGGCAGCTGTATCGGGTAGATCTAGAGTCTCTGGCTGTGCAGAATCAGATCAACTTCTTGGCTGCAGCTGTCACATCCCATAATACTGATAAGAAGTTATGAAATATTCTACTTTCTTTTACCTGATGGAAGCTAATTATTTAATTACAGAGTAGAAGATTTATTCTCCATGACTTAGCTATATAGCTAAGCCAAATACCCCATTGTTGGTGATAAAATGCATAAGCAGACAGAGAAACTGTGCCAAATAACTGCTCATGAACAGAAACGGGATGGCATTCAAATTGACATCCATCACTGAAAGGTGTCTATGGTAGCTATTAAACAGACACTTTGGTCCAGGATTCCAGCTGAATGTAAGCAGGGCTTGTCTGTTCCTTAGTGTGATCAATGTGGGATCTTCAGTTAACTTCAGTTAACTAAAAGACTCTCAGTGTAATTAATCTAGTTTTAATAAATAAGACCCTGTTTAAGTAAAATAAAATAAAGGAAGTGAACACAGGGTGTCTGTTATTTCTTCACTTCATTCAAACAGTGCATGGGAAGACTAACAGATATTCTACATAAATGTGAATGTGTTTGTAGAGATGAGTTCATGTAACAGAAACTTCATAGGAGTTATTTCTGGAGTCAGGAAAAAAAAAAAGCAGAAAAAGCTCTCTTCTAGAGTTTGCCACTGTAACTTAAAAATAGAGCTCGTCAAAGGTTGGAGCGTGACTACAGCACCTGAAGTATAGTAGGAATAGTAGGAAACATTTCAGATTTCAAGTGGGAAAGGAAATGCAGGAAATGTTCAGAAAATAAAGTCCTGTGTATTTCAGTGAGAGAAGAAACCACATCCTGGGACCCAAAACCATTAAGACCAAAGTCTCATCATGTTCCCTGAGGAAAAAGAAAACACGGTGTCATTTGTTTGCTCTCTATGGGAATCAGTTTTCAAAATAAGTGTCATGTGAGGATGAGTTTACTCTGGCAATTATCCATCCGAAGAAAAGCAGAATAAGTCATTAAGCAACTCAGGCAGAGCCTTTTGGTGCCTCAGATCTACAGTGGTCAGCCCCTCGTCAGCTTATCAGAGTGCTCATTTACCTTGTACCCGACCTATCTGTACCTTGTTCCTTTTGAGATACACATCTGTGTTCACATCAAAGGATAGATTTGGAGACTTGTGAAAGAGGTGTGAGGATTCAATGGCATGTAACAGAAAAGTGTTCTGTGTGTTTCAGAAGGAATTCATATGAAAATGTCCTCTTAAGGATGCAGAATTCTGATGGTCAGACACGGTACCTGCCATTAATGTATGACTGGGTAGGCTGCATAGTTAAGTAACTCTGTGTGGCCACACAGCATATGTGAATTCATGTTAAGCTCTTAAGTCCTAGGAAATCACATTATTAAATACAATCAACCTTTTACTTTACCTTGCAAACTGTGGTCCATTGGAAAGTGCTTGGTTTCTTCAAAGGCCTTAGTTATTACTGGTCCTTTTAGAAGTGCATTGATAGCATCAACCTACAATTGGAATGTTTTCAATCAGTTAGTAAGACTTGCAGAAGAAAATCTGAACAGAACTCTTGTGGGAAAATGAAAAAGGCATTACACTATTTGTATTTTGGAATAATTTCTCGTTGGTAAGTAGTATTAAGACTTTCTAACCATGAACTGACCTCAAGAGCCTCTCACATTGAATACAGCATTTTGCACAATGATGATCTACATGCTGATGAGATAAAAGATAATACAAAACAATTCTCTGGCGCTATACATCTATAAAGACATCTGTTGGCTGAACTTGCGAGGACTCTCCTGAGATCTGTATATGTGATCCATTTAGATCATACAAGGTATTAGAATTTTGTTCACCTTTTCCTTTTTTTCATGAAAGCTTTTTTCCCCTTAGTCTAATGCCTGAGATAAGGCAGGTCAATCTTGCTTAAATCACACAAGGCAACTTGAATGTTGACAAAATTGATTCCTCAAACTGTCCTAAAATATACTTGCTTACACTGTACCCCAAAATCTTGATAGTTCGCCTTCCCTCAAAATATGATTTCATTAAACAATTTGATACTTCCAATTTCTTGTATTGACATTGATAAAGAGAAAGCAATTCTGTGTAATAGTAATGCTTTATATACCTGGTTAAAAAGATGTTCCAGACAGCCATGAAGTTTGTCTTGCTTGTCTAAAGGAATCCTCATATCATTGGGAAGCTCATCTCCTAATAAAGGAAAGATGAAAAGCTTTTAACTGTCTTACAGACATAATCTGTGATGAGGCCACAGATGACACAAGCACACCTTCACACTGGACTGGGTGAAAAATGATTGCTGCTTTATCCCTAATTCATAGATCAAAATACTCATGATTTTTCATATAATGCAAATGTCCTATAACTAAAGAAGCTTATCCCCGCCTAATACCTCTTCCATATTCCAAATTTACTGTAGTTCATTAGAAAAAGAACAAATCTCTGTCTTTATGTTCTTGTGATTAGTTTTGAAGAAATCACATTTGCAACTTAAACATGCAAGTGCTTATAATCAGCAAAAACTTATCAGCTCGGCTAAGGTGTCTGGTATGAGAAATATGTATGTAACCCATGCATATACTCACCTGATCCCATCTCATCACTACCCAGGTAAGAGCTATTACTCCGTACACTGGTGTACGACAATACTGAGTCCCGGTTACTGTTACATTCACTAGAAAGAAAAGCAAAGAAGGTGATTGAAAAAAAAAGCTGTCCTTACACCCAGTCTCTGATATATTATCATTCTGTTTTTATTAACACTGCAATCCCCAAAACTGTTACGCATATACAAAAGAAAAACTAATTACATGCAGAACAACCATTAAGCAAGGCCTCTGGGGCTGGCACTGTAAGAGGATGTCTTTTTCCATTTGTAGTGACCACTCAGTGCTTAATATATCACCTGGATCCTATAAATAATGAAAATGGACTTCCCATCACAGACCTCATCTGGGTTGCATCATTAAACATGCTCTATGAGCATTGAGTAGGGGAGAAATAATTAAAATCTATGAGACGGAATCTCCACTAAACTCAGTATTTGTTACCAATTCTCAGGATATTACAGCATCCAACTCCAGCATATATTGAAGCTGCAGTAGCACAGATATTGGAGATGGGAGAGGAAATTTAAGGAATCTGTACCATCAGAAAATCAGGCACTGCAGATCCTAAAACTATCTCAGGAAGCAGAGGAGTCGCTACAGTTGGCTTCACACCAATGTTGGCTCATGCACACGTGGAAAATTCTAGTACGAATCTCCTCTGTTTAAAGTTCCCTTTATACTAATATAACTTAATAAAAGTAATCAAAAAGGCTATGGATCTCAGTCTATCCCCCTCCAATTAAGTGACACAGTGTTTTTAATGGTACAAGCCCAAAACAAAGCCTACAAAATTCTCCATATTGTCTCCTCCTCTGCTTTTGTTTTAGACTGAGATGAGAGAAAAATATGAGAGCAATTGAAAGAACCCTAATTGGGGTATTTGCCTGTCCTTTGTTAAACCTATTACCAAAGAAATCTATTTTTTCTGAAAAAGATTAATACTTATGGCAACTACTCTGCAGTACCTTATGAAATTTGAATTACACCTCCAAATGATCCTGGAGAAAGAAGCATGGCTAATGCAAACAAGGTATTTTCTTATCTCTAATTTGCTCTTTTTTTAGCTCCTCAGTAGTTTTTCAGATTAAAAACCATCAAAATACATTTTATTCCCCCTCGAGTAACTATTATCTGTTACATATGCTTAATTCCCTGCCTCTGTCTAATAAAGATAAGACAGAATAATCTTTCTCATCTTACATTTATGTGTAGAATTTTGGAACAGTGACAGACCCACAGAGACTGTTTGTGATGTCACTTTGTTACCCAGAATAGATTAGCCTCAATTATAGAAACCATTTAAACTAAACAGTGTTCATAAATGGGATTCCTCTTAACAATGAAAGAAATACAGCACATTTCAATAAAAAAGTTTCAGAGCACATGTGCAGATTTAAATCTAGCACAATAAAGAGATGCCACAGATCTCAACACTGTGAGTGCTGGTTCTGTTTCTTTACTGACTTCATATTTGCTGTCCTTGGAGACGTTCAATATTCAACTGGACAAGACCCTGAGCAACCAATCTTGTTGGACCTGTTCTGAGTGAGAGATTGGACCATGTGGACTCCAGAGACCCCTTCCAATGTAAACTGTTCTGATTCTGCCATTTCTGCAGTCCTGCATGAACGTAACATATTACTACTTGTACTAGTACAAAACCAACAGCAAGTAAAGAATCAGACCTATAGCGTGGAAGTTTCAAAGACGGGTCATTCGTTCAGGTTACTCTAATCCTCCCAAACCACTGTAAAGTGTCTTTACTCCTTCATATAAGCAAAGTCCTGTGGCCTTATTATAAAAGTAAAAATGGCTTACTAAAGATGTGAAATTGCAATGGTCAGACATGACTGCAACTTGTTGTTCCATTTCTTCTGAAGCTGAGTTTTCAAATGTTTCCTCCCAAGAAAGATAGATTTGGAGTGTGTGAGATTTCCTTTGGTAGCAAATATTCCTGGAGAAGCAGCAGTCAATCATGTCCCAAAACCAAGATTTTGAGACACCTGAATAAACATTTGCATTTGTGGTTTCAAAGGGCCATTAACAATAAAAAGCTCGATGTCCATTTCTGTTTCTCAGTGTCTTACACTTTTGGGAAAATTGTTTGCAGAATTGAATGAAAACATTCCCTTACAATAGCGGCTATTATAAGACCAAGCAGTTTGCAAACTCTGCTGAGAGTATGTAGTTTCCAGCTATACGATATAGAAAGGGAAAGTCACACTAGACCTATTTATGTAATTTTATTCAATTTTCTAGAAGCGTTGGTATTTTGGCATTGTTATGAGAAAAGGCTTTTTTGCTGTGTGTCTCCATGGTAATAAATGTAATAAATGTAATGAAATAACTATAGCTAGTGAATACTTTACTAAGTGAGTACAGAATAATTGACTGACTGGAAAATAACGTTATTTCAAATAATCAAACTTAGAAAAACTAGTTCTGACCTTTAAGAGGGTTAGGGCTGGGGTAGTTATTTTCAAGGGGCTAAGGGAGTCCTGTATGTTTCTTTGGGAAAAAAGTTACGGTGTTCACTTAGGGAATGCACAGCTGACACCATGACTAATGCTGGATGTAATCTATCTGGAAAACCTCAACTAAGACTTCCAACAACTGCCAAAAAGCCTATCAGGAGATCTTAAGGTTGTTTTGAGGGTCATCAGATCAGCAAAACCCCAGTGTCCACTGAAGGTCTGTGAGGTCTGCTGGGTTTTGGTGCTTTCTACTACTATACTGCTTGTTGTCATCCAGCAGCACAATTCAGAACCTGGCAAACATCAGCCCAGATAAAGAATTCTAGATGTCGTAGTTAAATAAAGCAAGTGCAGCAGCCGCTTACTTGATGTGTAACTCTGTTCACATAACCCCAAGAACAGAAGAATTCTTGGGAACAGAAAAGCTCCAAGAAAACACTCGTAACAGGAATGAAGATACACCTTGGGAAAATCTGGACCTCCACTCTGCTAGGAGGACTCACATTGCTAGTGAGGCAATTCCTCACTCCTCATCACAGAGCCACACAGAGTGGTTATCCTCATGGCACAGCAACAGATGGACACCTGCATCAAGGCTTACTAGTACCCTTCCATTGCTTCCTTTTCATAGATGTTACTCCACGGACACTGTTCAGATTAAGATCATGTGCTGAACCATGGAGAAACGCACCATGTTCATGCACACGTACCACACTTTGGAAAATTCAGATTGATACCTGGCCATTTTAGTCATGCAAGATGTACCTGCTGGTGTATGTAAATAGTCGATAATCTGCTCTAGAAAAGAATCCTGATCTATCAATTTCTCATCTATTACTATAATATTGAGAGAAAATGAGACAGACAAAGATGAGGAAAAGAGCTGCAGGTACTACAATATAATTTTAGCAAGAGTTCATGTGACGATTGTGTGGGTTAGGTAAAAAACCCCATGAGGTCCTCCTGCTTGTTGAATCCATACCTGGGTTAGAACTTCGAAACATTATTTTAGTTAGGTAAAAGTGGCACAATCTTCAGACTAACCTGTAGGAGTCTCTGAAACTCATTGTGTCATGCCCAGAGTCTTCCTGGTCCTCCTCAGAAACTTTGAAACAGACCTTCTTGATTCCACCATGCTCAGCTTTGTCAGGATCACTCTCTTCTGTTCCCAGGGAAGGTGGAGATGTCTCCTCAGTAGATGGTGGCTCACAGGCACCACCTTCTGTAGGTTCTGTTATGGTGGACAAAAGTCTGCAAAAGTAAAACACACAGCTCTCAGGGACTAGTGGGTAGTCTCACAAATGTAGTATAATGACTAAGGTTGGAATTCAGCTATGTGAAATCAAAAGCAATACTTGCCAGTATTTTACATAGACTACAGTTACAAAAAATTGCAAGCTCTGAAAGGGGTTCATTGAAATCCATGAATCTCAGTTCACAAAAGGTCCTGTTTCCATAGGTACCCTACCTCCATAAGGTATAGCTTAATCACTGTAACCATGCCCACAAACGAAGTATAATGACTAAGGTTGGAATTCAGCTATGTGATAATATGTTATACCCCACAGCTCTGACAAGCTGAAAGGAGTGATTTACAAATAAGGTTCTTTTTCCTCAAAACTTGCAATTTCAGTAACTTGCAGAGCTGTTTTAATGCCTCTAGGACACCCACCTCTAAAGCTGTTTGGATTCATTAATAAAGAATACTAAGACCCAGTTATCACAACGAAGAGACTTCACCAGTAACTAGTAGTGTTGTACCTCTTGGTCGTTTCTCCATCCAAGGCGCTGAGTTTCTCCTCTGGGGCAGTGCCTCAGCTCGCTGGCTCTACCCAGCAGCTACCGCCCTTTCTTAAATATGTTTGAGCCAAGGCTTCACATGCTTTATGGTCAGCTGAAGTTTTGGGGTACGATGGGCTGTTCTTTGTTGTTACTGAGATTCCTGGAAGTGGCTGTGAGCGGCTTAGGGCAGCTTATGGCCTTCTCCTACACAGATCACCCCTGCAGCCCCTGCTACCAAAACCCTGCCAGTCATGTACAATACACAGACACACTACACAAATTCTTCATTACTACTACTAGGAGACCCATGATGAGAAAGAGAAAAAGAAAAAACAGAGGAAAGGAAAGCATAGGTGCCATAGAGGAAGCTGCCTGAAATCACAAGTTTTGCTTAGTCTGCCTTATGACAGACAAAATCTCAAGGGTAGGGACTCGGTCTATATGGAATTCCAAAACTGCTGTTGGAACCAAATACATGCTTATATTGGAATATATAGTAAGCAAAACAGTGGCTGTTGAATTCAGGTAGACTTTTAGGAGCAAAGGACAATAATATATACACTACTGGATCTGCACAGGAGTAGGTTTGACACAACCAGCAAGGAGCTGTAATGCAAGTGCATGCGTAAATAGATGAGTGTAAGAACATGACAGTTGGGGCCGATAGGCACAATGTGTTTTCTGAGGATAATGCCTCCATTTTATCAGAATTGCTCTCTGCAGTGCCTATGGGATTCTTTACTCACTTATTTATCTGAATGACATATTGCTTCATTTCCTTCACTGCAATGTCAAGTTTGTTAAAAAGGTGCAAGTATGAGTCCTGTATCTCCCGATCTTCCTGTTTCAGCAGAAAACTGAGTCCCCTTTCATCTTGAATTGTTCCTCCATTCTGCTGGCCAAAGCTACCATCAAGGTCTCCATCTTCTAGGGTCAGACATCTCCAGGATGGTGCAGCCATAGTGGTGATGCAATGTTGAGTATATGAGACTGGATTTAAGGTACCTACTAAACATTGAAGGGTCTAGTTAGTATAGCTCTCATGACTTTCCCCACTCCATCCCAATAAAGATAGTTTAGGATAGATGGAATTTTAACAGGAAAAGATAAAATTTCATAGAATTATTTTACAAAATTACATTCTACGACAAAAACATCCTTTTGGAAAAAAAAAAAAAAAAAAAAAGAGACATTTTGGGTTTTTTCCCTGGCATGCCAACTAGATGTTTTTAATTTACTGCAGTCCAGAAACAGGTTAAATTATAGAAGTAAAGACAGCAAGTGTCCACACATATACTCATATAGACAAGACGGATAGTATTTAAAAGCGTTTGTTGAAATGTTAATGAATTCAGGTTCTCGGGAGTTGGTCTTTGTTATTATTCCAGCTTTACAAACATTTACACACACACACACACGAAAAATAAATAGGATTATATCCTTACAAAAGACAAATAAAATTCATTTTCATTTAAAAATGCTGACATTTTGGTATGGTACTTTGCTAACCACCTTAGCTCACATTAAAAATACTATGGAATTTTAATATCTTCAAGCGATCAGGGCTTCTTTATTGACCTCATTTTGAACAGTCAATGCCATTCTTCAGAAGGTTGGTTAATCTACACTTCCCTGTGTCTCTTCCAAACATTCCTGCACTCTGACCTTCACAAGACAATGAGTCAGAAGCATATTAGGTGAGATCATGATGAAGAAATGTTGCAACTCAAATAATCAGGTTGTAAGACAAATGCTGTGTAGCAGCTATTTATCAGAAAATAGATTCCCTTGACAGAGTAGAGACTTTCAGCTCCAATGCATGGAATTTATTTAGTAATGACGGAAGAAAACAGCACTACAATCTGATTGACTCATGTTTTCCCCCTGAATGTAGCCTCTCTTCACAGCACTAGCACTACTATTAGTCCCCATTCACTTTTCTTTTAGTCAGTAAGTCACCTCTACCAAGTGCAAACAATACTCCAGCACACTTAATTATCATGAGATGACCACACTGCTTAGCTAGTAAAAACATTTGACCTGAAGCCTCTCTATGCTTAAAGGCATTACTATTGTACAACACAAGGAGTCTGTCATTTTACTATAAAATTTTAAAGAGGAAAAAAGGGTACTGGCAAGACTGTGTTTCTTTAGAACTTATTTTGTGGAAAGACACAACTTTTTATACAGATAAAATCAGTACGATTTGAAAGTTAATTATCACCTTGTTCTGGATCAAGACCAATAATAGAGGGCTTCCGTCCAATGCGAATGCTGAATGACCTCCCTGCTGAGGTAGTGTTTTTGGGGTATGATACCTCCATGAGGTTAACATGGCAGTTGGTGGGGCAGAAATCCATGCTGTTGAGGGAATGTGGTTCCATGATGGCTTGTTTGAAGGCTGGGCTCACCTTTGTTTTCAATTCATCTGCAAACTGGGAGAAATAAAGTAAGCATGTGCTACTTCATTTGCAAAAAATAATGATGCAACACAGACAATCCTTTTCTCTTCCTGCCTCCTATTTCAGAATCATATGATTTCTGCTGCAGCTGGAATAACACATCAAAAAAAAAAAAAAGCTCATAAAACAACAAGTGAAAGCAATTAGCTATACCTTCCAGGACCTTCTTTTCAAACAGCTCAGGTTTTGCGCTACTGCACAAAAAAGCACACATAGTTTGTTTACACTATGATACACTATACGCTGATCATTCTGTTGTCATATTTATTCACTGATATGGTGGAAATGAACCTGCAATAATATGTTATAACCCACAGCTCTGACAAGCTGAAAGGAGTGATTTACAAATAAGGTCCTTTTTCCTTAAAACTTGCAATTTCAATAACTTCCAGAGCTGTTTTCATGCCTCTAGGACACCTATCTCTAAAGCTGTTTGGATTCATTAATAAAGAATACTAAGAGCCAATTATCACAATGAAGTATTGTCTTGAGACTTCACCAATAACTAGTAGTGTTGTACCTCTTGGTAGTTTGTGAGCCTTCTGCTAATGCTTTCCAGCTTAGTGTCACAGATTTGCCGGAATTCATACTGGGGCATGGTAGCCACAGCACTGCTTAGGGATATGAGTCTTTTGCAATTCCTTACGAAGTGATTGTCCTCTGCAGCAAAGGCTTCTAAAATCTAAACAAAAAGACAGGATGTCAGGGATATGAGACTTGACAGTGAGGGAAAATAGAGTTTTCTTCCATTGAATAAGTGGCAAAGGCCCCATGTTGTCATGGTTGAATAAATCTGCCTTCAGAACAAGTTGCCTTTATTACCGCCTCAGAATCACTATCATGTCTAATCCCCAATTCCTCAAAACGTTTTAGAATAACTGAAATGGATCAAAATATCCATTGTGCACTGTCAAAGTTACCTGCTCTGGCATACTTTCATGGGACATAAAAATAATGTTACTGGGATGTGACAGAAACATTTACTATTAGCTCATTATTGTAACAGATGACCAAAACACTAAGTGCACTGCTGCTTTCCAACAGCAGCAGTTCTGCTTGCTTCCTTTAGTGACCCATCCAGCCTATCAGATGGCAAAAAGCTGCTTGATTTTCTTCCAAGGTAAAGCAAATTCTTGCCTGAAAAGATTAATCTTGAGTATCAGCAAAGAGTATATTACCAGACAGATAGAAGCGAGAATTCCACAGCTGAGGGCTCCCCTCCCTCTACCTCAACAGCTGAAATCCTGGAAGCGTTTGCTGACTTGCTCATACCAAATGAACTATTATAACTTGATGCATTCTAATGAGGAAAACTCCAGGCAGGGTTGAGAAGACCATGTGTTACCTCATCCAAAGAGCCAAGCCAAGCCACCAGAGAAATGTCTATATTACTGGCTTCCCTGTTCTGTTTAGGAATGAAGTTGGCCATGTATGCTTTGCGGTACCTTTGCAGTGAGACTGAAGCAACCTTTTGGTTCCACAATTTTCTCCAGGACAAAGGATTTGATTCCTGCGCTGCTGACATATTCATACACCACCCCATGCTCCAGGTGGGTGTTATCCACAGTCAGGCTAATGAGAGGTGTTTCTTCACCAATGATCAGTGGAGGGGTGATGGTCTGTGGTGTCTGGGCTGGAACCAAAATAAGTCATTAGAGGTGTTTGGCAGCACACATGAATACAGGCATGCATAGGGAAGAGAAACCTGTTGAGAGGTATTGTAAATGCAAAGACACAAAGACACAACCTTTGGCTCAAGCAGTCTCTGAACCACATACTGCTAGAGGCTGGGAGAATATTCTGAGGAAGACATTTGCTGTTGGCCACTACTGGAGACAGCGATAGAGGTTTAGACAATCCACATACTCCAATCCACATTCTGATGTTCTTCCATGTGTGCATGCACACATCCATGCAGAGGACACTACTTTTAGTTCTGTTCAGCATTCAGACGCACAGACCCCAGCAGAAGCTTTCAAAGGGAAGTGAAGTATGTTAATCTCAGAGTCTTGTTTGTAATGACCCTCTGGAAGATTGCCACTTTTCTGTCCATTTTGGGAAATGCCCCAGATGCATTTTCTGTGCAGCTATAAGACTGAGATGGCAGGGCAAGGGGTGGGGTGAGGAGATAACATTTTTTACACGCAGCAATGCTGTTGTCACCAGAGAACAGATTTAAGTTACAGTCAGATTGAGATTTGCCAGAGAATTGCTCACATGCCTCTACCAGGGCACTGCTCCAGCTGTTCCACCGTGGAGCTGCACTGTTTGACCATTAGATTACCAGGCTCACCAGACCTTAGATGGGATCCACACAGATGTGCATCTGTTCCTGGAGAAGTTGCCAATGGCATTCAGAGAGTCCAGGCTCAGTCCTTTGGATTGAATCTGGCTTCAGTATTCTCCCCTAACATCTACTTTTCCGAATAAGCTCTCAGCATGAAGGTAAAGCAGTGGTTTTTATGAGTTACACTTTCCTAAGTTGGAGGAAATACACCCATACCTTTTGCTAACACAGTGGTAACATGCTCTGAAAACTTGCTCCAGATCAAAGTAATTTAAAATCTTAATCTTTAAGCTTAAATCACAGAAAACATATATTATGCTAGGTGGAGTTACTTGCAGACCTTCCCTCTCCAGCTGCTACTGCCCATAAATTCCTGGTTTGCAGGGGCTACCAAATGATTCTAAAAATGCTGAGCCTTTTCATTCCAGAAACGGGCTCTCTTGTAAAGATCAGAGAGTCGCAGGGGTACAATTTCTGTGTGCATCTCAACTTTTTCTTTTCCTGAGTAAACTGCAGCATAGAAGTACTTCCTCTGGCAGACCTCATCCTATTATAAAGTTTACTAAGACAGATATTCTACAATAATAATTACACTTTATATTTCTACCGCAATTTTCATTCCTGAAGCCCCTGAATCTTCCCTAGGTTTTCTTCTCCCATGAGAATCTTTACCTGATTCCTGTTGGCTATTTTGAAGGGGATCCAATTCTGCACCTCCTTCCAGTGAAGAGTCGTCTTTGCTGGAGCCAGGATGACGGCCATTCAGATATGCAGTGGATGCTGCTTGCTGAACTCTGTCCTCCTCAGCATCTTCATGTGTTCTGTATACCCACTGGTACAATCCCTTTCAAGAGATATAGGCTTCAGCTATGACCTTAGTAAAAATGCCCAATCTCTATACATTTGAACTACAAAGGCGAATCTAGCTATCACTTTTATATCTTCTAAGTTGGCTGAAATATCAACATTCCCCCAGCTTTCCTCTGAACTTCAGAGAATATAAAATCTAGATCATATCTGGATGAAATTCTAGTTTTAGCAATAGTTAATAATATTTAGTACTGTATGCAGTGTATGAATTGGCATACATACTATTTGTAGTTGTTTTGCAACTATAGGCAACTGTAATTAGCTCCCTCAGTCATACTAGGACCTTGGCATGCGAGTAAATAAGTCAAAAGAGACATGAATAAGTTGTTTTTCTGTATATGTGGTGAGCATAAAAGCACAGAAGAAGGGGAGGACAGAAGAAAGGCAGGAATTAATGTAATTCCTTTGAGGTTTTGTATTCATACCAGTGCTTCCTGTTGTCTGGTCCTGTAGGCTGTAAAGTGCTCCAGAACTTCCATATAATTTCCACGTGTTGCATTATTCCCATTAACTTTCAAAATACACTGCCCTGGATGAAGGCCGACAGCTGCAGCGTCAGAACCTGAAAAATCAACAGGAGAGGAGTTAGACAGTAAAGCCATCTGACTATGGAAGAGAAAATGGGAAAGTTTGCAAAGGGTTTCTGGTTAAGAAGAGTAAGGAGAAAAAGCTAGTTGAATGCTGTCATGGTTTTACTACTAAGTATTCTGAGAGCTTTGTTGTATAAGGAAAACATCATGCATCTATCCTTCCTATTTTCAGTAGTGCTGGGAAGAACGGAGACCTCCTATACCTAAATGCATTCATGCTAGAAAATGAAATTCCTGTGGGAAGTCATTTGGGATTCTTATATGGCATTTCTAGCCTTATGATTCCATTAGCTGAGGTCTTGCTTAAATGTAAACAGTTATATTGGTTTCAGCTTGTTGCACTTGAAAGATACAGAACACTTGCACGTTATGCAATTTGCCATAGTCTAAGAAAAAGACTATGATACATTCAAAACTAGAGTAAGTCTAGAATGCAAAAACCAACTTCAATGGATATATTCCAGATTCATACGAACAAGACTCAGACCCAAATCCAGCTCCTAGAAACCTACACTTAAGATGATTAACTTTTTTAAGGCACCATCATTTAAAATTCATACAGTTTTATTCCAAATGCAATTTGTCTTTTGCTAGCAAAATCCTGAAAAAGAAGAATCTTTCTAGCTGGCACTTCCAGTTTGCACTCTTCAGACTGTTAGAAAGTGGTTTTTTTTAGTGTAATAAATGTGTCTCCCTGAGAACATTGTTGCATTTGGGTGCTGCCTGTTGTCTGTATACTAACTGCACATATTTGGATATATGTATTTGTTCTGAAGGAAGGAAGTGGTACATGTCTGAAAGGTCGTATTTTCTGCAACTGCTGAAAATAAAGGTTAGAGCTGTGCTTTATTTGCAGCTCAGTTCACATTTCAGTTACGGAAGTAGTAAATATCTCTGTCAAACTGTGTTTCTCCTTTTAAAAAGACCATGGAAAGCAGTTCACCTCTATCTTATATTGGTAATTTATAGCAGTATAAGCCAATGTAAAGGGGGAAGCAGTCTTCAAGTCTTACACCATACTTTGTGATTTAAGAAACGTGATCTGTCTACCAACCTGCTGATCCCACAGCACATTCACAACTGCAGTGATCCAAACTGTGGCTGACCACAGGCAAAAATATTGAAGAAGCACAGACAGCATTACACCTCAACTTTTTCTCAGCCAGCTCAGTTTCAAATTTTTATTCCCTGTGGCTGTAGAGCTGTCATCGTAGAGGAAACAAGGTTAGGATCACTGTGCAAGCGCATTTCTAGCTTGCAAGAGCTCAAGTGACAATGCTTTCTCAAGAGTCTTTCCACAGTACTGTGGATTGCAGTATCACCAAATTTCTTCTACCGTAGAATTAAGTTATTCCTTGTTTTGTGTTGATGGGATTAGTGACCCAACACCCAGGCAGGAACTATCTTGTTCTATGGTTTTATATATGAGTGAGAGCCTTCTCTATGACAGGGGTTCATAGTCATTATGGTAATTAAAATAAGTTGTCAAAACTTGTTTAGAACAAATTTGACAATGAAACCTGTATCTTTCTTGATTGAGAGAGATATATACACACACACACTTTATACACACATGGATATATATTTAGCTGCACTCCAAGCTTAACTATACCACAGCCTTTCTACTTACCTCTTCCTACTGCATGAACATATGGTGGTGCTGCTCCCCGTATCTGAAAGCAAAGTGCTTCAGGACAATCTGGGATTTTAATAATCCTGTGGGTAAATCAAGGAGAAGAGAAAGCAGCATTTTAAGTTAGGCTGCCAGAGCTCTGGGCAGTTCTAACAGCATCTTTTCCCAGCATTCACAACCGTGTTTTGGATTAAAGAAAGTACCCACATAGTTTACAAATAAATAACAAATAAATAGACCTGAAGAAATCATCCACTCCATCTTCATTCTCCAAGGCAGATGAGAGATTCTCTTTGCTAATTAAAATTTGGCACTTCCAAAGGTATTATATCTTTAAGTGAATAACACAGGACAGAAACTTTCTATGGTATTTATATTCCCTTTCATTTCTAGGCAAACTTCGGTGCAGCTCTGCTGACGTATACCAGCTGAGGATCTTTTCCATTAAAAAAACAAATAGACTGGACAAGACATCCTGAACTAGAATTTAGCATCAAGTGCTCATTGACACATTCAATTCTATGGCAAATTCTGGGATTACAGAATCTAGTAATGCACAAGATATTAACAGGGCCAAGCCTTATTATAAGATACAATAATGGACTGAAAAACTGTTAGAGTCATCCAAAAATAAGCCAAGCTTTAATGGGGTGGAAATTGCTTTCCCTTGGACCTGTATTAGTCTGAGAAGCTTCACACCTGAGACAGAATGACAATCCTTGTGATTCAGTTCTGTTTGTCCACAAGGAAGCCAAAAGTTAACTGCAGTATAAAGAGAACAAATCCTAACTTGTTCTAGAAGCACAAGGTTCATCACTGAAAACAACCTGTGACTCTTGTATCTCTTTCATTTATGTCATTTTTTTTCCTATTGAACAGCTTCTGCATAGCAAAGTGTTTACAGAGTTTTCACTACAAATTGTAGAAGAAATATTTAGTAATTGACATTTCTAGATAATCTTCTCTGTCTGCCCATTTTGACACTTACTCTTTTGATTTGGTGGCTACCAGAAGTCTAAGCGGCCTTCGTGAGCAGAAGGACTGGTTTAAGATGGTTTCCACTTCTGAAAACGGGCGTAGGAATATTAAGTCCTCATTGATGGAATAGATTTTTCTGCCCATCTGCAGGCCAGCCATCTGCAAATGAAACAAACACCACAGAAAACTTTGCATCATTGGCAGCATCTCTGAAGATTAAGGCTCCAAAGTTCAACTGTTCTCTACTTACGGACGTTCCTAGGATTATTGACATATGGAATACTGTATATACAGTGTTGGTTCATCAAATCATTTGTCAGTCACCCTTAAAGTTGTCTGCATTTACAGAAAACAAAGAGATTTCCCCAATATCTGTATAAATACGCCACGTTACTTTGCAATGGATATATCTTTGTACTTTTCTGCTACAATTTTTTTAATAGGGGACTACTAAAAAAGGAGAGTATATGAAAAAAAGGGGACTGAAAAACAGGGGACTGTAGTAGACTGGCTAACTATCAAGTGAGATACAGAAGTGTGACTTCCCATAACTTACAGCTCAGGCACAGGGAGCCAAGAACATAGTTTTCAACCACTATCTATGCAAAACCAATCTATACCTAGTCACATAAATAAATGTAACCTGTTTTTAAGTGGTGGTAAAAATCTGTCTCTGCTTTAAGTGAAGTACTGGCTCTTCATCAGCCTAAAAAGCCACAAGATTTTAATTTTAATTCCTAGCTTTTGCACCTAACTTTAGTTATTTGGTCATGGTCACATAAGAAGTCAGAGACAGATGCGATGACAGAATCGAGATCCCTTATTCTGCCTACTGGACAATAACCCTAAACATACCTGTTGATGATCTACACCAGTTAAAATGTGACATAGCAGCACTTAGACTAGGTGTTAGGGTATCAAGGAAATATAAAATTCCCTTTAATGGAGTAAAAAAAAAAAAAAAAAATTAACCCTTCCCAGGTTAGAATTACTTCCTATCACTTTAAGATTCAGCAGTTGGGCTTTCTTCTAAACGTGACAAGCCCCTTTCCTATTCTGCCTGGAATCCATTGACAAATTTCTTGGTTTGGAAAAAGGATGTCTAAACAGTACTACTCCCACATATGAAAACTGACCTGTTGCAAAAATGAATCTGGAAACGTAGGACTGGAAAACCTTGCTGACTATGTCTATGCATGGCTTGGCTTTTCTTAAATATGTTTTGTGTCTGAAAGTCAGAGATCAGTTTACCTACAAAAACCTATACTTTTTTTGTCAAGTCAAAGCTATTAAAAAGAAAAACTACAAAGGGCTCTCCCTGATTTAATTCTCAAGCTCTCTACAGTTGACAACATCCTCTTGTGTACCTGGAAATAACATTTTTCATCCTTCTTTTTTTGTAATTAATTTCTAAAATGGATAATAGGGATAAATAGCAATAGAGATTTTAACTTAAGATAGAATTTGACAAACTTTGGTTTATAATTCAATGAAAATGTTTCTGCTATTTGCATTTACTTATACTGATGAGTTTATTATAAAGTAATAATTATTATATAAATTTCTAAAGTCATTATGTTTTAGGCCTGATTTTCTCAAAGGAGCTCACGCACTTAATGTATGTGCAATTAGCTAAACTCTTCGCATACCTGCAATCATTCTACCTGTGGATGACCTCTTTATATTCCTAACTTATTGCTTGTGCATACGGGACACCTACCTGCACACATAATCATAGAAAATCCATGAATGTATGAGGTACAAAGTTGCATATTAAATCCTACAAACTAGCAACTTTCAAATAAAAATCTGCTACTCTGCTGAGATATAACTAACCAGGCTAACGAAGACTAGACAGTGTGTATCTTTAGCAGTAAAGACCTACAGTGTCACAGAGCTTCTGAAAAACGGATGCTCCTCATGACAACTCAATGCAGTTGTCTGGATCCAGGCCATTGTTTCTTCTGAAACACCAGCAACTTGCTATTTGCTGTTCATTTGCATGGCCATTGGCCAACTGGCTGCTTGTTGAACGCGCTCTGTTCAAACACTAGACATCTGCTTGTCAGTTGGCTGTTCAGAGTAAGACAGCAACCACACCTCCCAAAAAGGTAGGTTTTTTTCACAGTGGTTTCCTTCTGTTAGAGTATCATTCATAAACCAGCTCCAGGATTAAAATTTATGGGAATAAGCCCAGCTACAATTAACCTGCACATGAGCTGGGTTAGAAAGGAAGATAAGGTACAAACTGAGGAGACATTGACTTTCTGAATGTCTTTCTGAAGACACATGAACTTGGAACAAGCATGGGATGTGCCACAGTCCTCATCAACCAACCACTGCTATATGATTTTTTGTGACTCTCCGTCTAGGTGAGCTGATCAAGTGTTAATTGTCACAGGCAGCTGCTGCTGGGAGCATGGGGGGACAATTTCCACAGGCGAGAGTCCTGGGCTGAGAGCTGCTCATCATTCAGGACCAGGAAAGAAAGTGCATGAGTAGTGCCCACTAGGGCACTATTCTGTCTAAGGGCCAAAACTGAGAAGCTGAACACACACGTTAGGCGAAGAGTTCCCAAACTGCAGTTCAAGTACCCTATCCGTACAGGAATTTGATGTTCCAGCAATTCTTTTCTTAATGACTTTTAAACACAGGTTGGGAACTGCTTCTGGCATAGACAAATCTAATAGCTCACAAAACAGTTTCTAAAAAATCTTGAGAAGAAAAAAGACACTAATAATAAAAAGAACAATGCTTGGCAGCTCTGATTTTGAATAAAAACCCCAAAGACCCTTGTTGCACATGCATGAAGTTCAATGCTGTGTGCCGCCACAATCTGTGCATGACAATTTTTTTCCAGGTATACTAGGAAAAAGAGATCACAATCCCAAACTCAAACAGAATGTGTTAATCTTGAATAAATCCATGCAAGTAATAGATACGTTTCCACTTAATTGGTGAACCTGGAATCTTATTCTGGCCTGAAGTCTGATAGTCCTAATGGATGCACTGTACTGTGATGGGCACTGTGAAGCAAAGCTGCATGTCTTGATTTTTGTCCCTAAGAGTGTGACAGCAGCCATAGGGTCTCTACATGGCCTACAGCTGCTGAGCCACAGAGAACTACATGCTGGATATCTTTCTAGTATCACAAAGCAATTAAAAAAGCCTAAGAATATAATGAAATGCATCACTGTTGGACCTCAGGTCTTTCCAGAATGAACTGACAGCCCCCTGGTTCAGAGAGATGCAGATTTAATTCTTTTCTGGAGCAATATTTTAAGATCAAGTTGAAAAGACGGGCTCATGGTCACAGATAGTTTGTCTTGGAAGATCAAGAAAAAGATTCCTTAGAAAATTGTGTGCTTCTGTTGTCTTAAAACACAACAGATTTGCAGGATTTTCCACAGGCATCCAGCCAAAGACAGGGCAGAAGGATTATCTGTCAGGCAATGGTTTACAGCAGAGGTTTAGATTAATAAAATTTTTGGCCAATCTATGTTGATTTTGAGCATGAGGTAGAGCATAGGATTGGTTTCTTTGGTGACCATAAAACAAATGAGAATCAGGAATACTGAAATCATTTAATTCTAATATTAAACTTTAGTTCAAAACTCCTTCCCATTTGACATTCTCAACTTGCTAAAATCAGTCTGTCCACTTCAGCTGTTTGCATTGGGCGAGTCATCCAGGAGTTATCTGTAGCCTAAAGCAGTGACCAACAAATGAATGTGGACATTAAAAAATTCTGTAATGGTTGTCCTGGACTTTTAATAAGAAGGACTGTCTGTGTGCTGCCACAATTTACTGTGAAACCCTGGACAAGTAATTTAGTCCTCTCTTATCTTCATAGGTGCTAAAAAGCACCTAAATAGCTTTTAAAAAATAGACTTTCTTTCTGTCTGTGCCTTATTTTGGTAAATGGAGGATCACATTGTGTTATCCACTCAAAGGTTTTGTATGGATAAACAAATGATTATGAAATACGTAGATCCTATGACATTTGGGCCATCTATGTGCCTCAAAGAAACAAAGCAAATATATTCTGTAGAGCTCTTAAAAAAACACCAGGGAGAGAAATGAGCACATGCTTTTTAAGGAAACAATACAAATCTAAAAATATAGCTTTCACTCAAATAAACCTGTTTCTCATTGAACATCTTCGTTATCCCAAGACAATGTTACTTTCCCTCCCTCCTCAAATTTAAGTTGCTAATGAACATGAGGTATGCTATCATCACACAGAGATACTGCTGTTGTCCTATCACTTATCAAAAATACTCAGCAAGTCCTCCAAAGATGCCAAAACACTTAACAACTTACAGAAACAGTTTATTACCACAGGAATTATAGAAGATACCATATTTTCTATTAGCTGCCTTTAAAATGAAACAGACCTTAAAAGGATGGTTTTGTACCTTTTCAAAGCATTGAAATATTCTTAGGTACCAAAATCAAAATATTTATGAATGTTAGGTCATACCTCTGCAGAAGACCCTCGTCGAACTGACTTCACCACGATTGCTTTGTTCTTTTCTTCCATGTCAAATCCGTAGTCATCCTCTTCTGGCAAAATCTGAAAAAAAGCACAAGGTAATGCTTCACAAATTCGGAGTTAGCTGAAAAGCTGAAGGATGGAGATGAGAAATTGGACTTTTCATTGCAAGCCACGATTGACATAGACTTGTAGATCTTAAGGCTGAAAGGGACTATTAGGTCATTTGGTCTGATCTCCTACGTAACATAGGCCATAAAATTTAATCTAGTTATTTCTGTTGAACCCTTACTATACTAAAGCAGAATTCCCAGGGAGTTATCCAGTTATGATCTGCAGTCTTTAAGAAGTGAAGAATCTATTCCCGCCCTCGAGAGTTTGTTCCAATGGTTAATGAACTCTTCTATTAGAAACTGCATTTGATTTTAACTTCTAGCCCTTCATTCTTCATTAGATCTTCCACTTTTAGATTACAGAATTCATCAATATTCAGCATTTTCCATTGATGAATGTACTTACAGATCAAACTGTAGTCATTTATTTATTTTTTAAAATACATCCTACATACCCAATAATGAACAATCTATGAGTCCTTCTTAGATATCAGTTTCAGATAAATTGGGGATCTCAGGCCTATTTCATATAGATAATAATACACACTACATAAATTACATCATAATAGTTGGTCTGCTGGCTAAAATTCTGGATGACCAGTGAGAGAACAATTTCTGACATAAGCTTTGTGTTAGGGAAAAAATACAAGACTCATGTCATGTGCTCAGTTTGCACCTTTTATGGTTGACAGAAGACTTGGTAGTTCTTGCTCCTGAGAATCTGCTTCCTCTTCCTTGCACTGAGGTCACACAGACCTGCCTTATAAATATTTTTTAAAGTCATATCAATCATGGCAAATATATGTTTCACTCATCCTTTTCTAGTGGTTTTATTAACAATGAAAAAAAAGCTTAACAACTCAATTCCCGTTTTAAAAAAATAAAGCAAGCCTGGCCACTGCTAAATGGACCAGTGGAAATTCTACCAGATAACCATTTGAGCAAACACTACACATTTAAGAACCATCTGACAAATTAGATTTGACTTAAAAGGAAAAATAAAGCTATCTATAATCTAGCATGCCACTGGGAAAAAAAAATTACTGAGAATTATTTCCTTGATTCTGATGATTCCTGCACTATTTTCAAATACTGTCCTTTTTCTATTGAAGTCAATGTCATCAGCCTATAAGCTTTAGAAAAAAAATTAAAGAAATAGAATCATCCTTTCCTGCAGGAGCCATACAGCCGTATTAAAATAATGCATGACATAATATATCTGCAGGGAAAAAATCCTCATCAGATGATGTTCAGATTAAATGATGGACAGGAAAGTAAAAAGACTGAAAGGTAAGTTTGCCATTCTCGGATATTTCAAACAAAGTATTTTCAGAAGCAATGCTATTTATGCATATTTAATAAAACGACAGCTTAGAAAATTGGGTATATCACTGGTTAGATTTTTAGTGTTGCAAATGTAATGAGTTTCAGCCCAACATAATATGTACTTTTATCACTTCACATTTGGGATTAAACGGAAAATTTCTAGGATAGCTCTGCCATCCAATTCTCATTTTACATTTGAAAGGAACGTTCAGTTTCTTTTGTTGGATTTTGAAAGCATGTGTGAAAAGATATTTAAAAATTTGGAGGCTTTGATTTGCCAAACTTAAGAAGCCAGCAGCTACACAAACTTACATGATCTCTTGGGTGCAGCTACCATTACTATGCATGAAGATCTTTTATATGCTATCGTTTTTAATAACCTACCTTCCTCTGTTCATCAGTACTGCAAAAATGTACTGTTTGAAAGCAAAGAACCAAAATACTTTTAAGAAATCCCAAGTGCATCAACATTAGGAACTTTATCACCATGTTGTAAGGAAAGAAATCTCACGTTGTATATACTGACGCTCCTGTACTGGGGACACTCTCTTATGAAAAGGTAGACTATGGATAATAATCAATATGCAATATTTGGAGAAGGCTATGATTCATTCTTTATTAAAAAGTAGTAATACCTTGCAATTCCACAGCTGAACACCATTCATCCCTAAGGAGTCCAAGCAATTAACTAACTTGCCACCTACAAGAATTATTTCTGTGCCCCTGAAATCCAATCAATTTTTTGAACGTAAAGCAGCAGCTGTTTAATCTTGAAAGACAACCACGTTAAAAAATGAGACCATATGAGAAATAAGCATGTTTAATCAAAACCAGAGGGCAAATGTAGTCAGAACGTATTCAAAGAGAATTTTGGCAGAGATGGGGGGGCGCGGAGAGTGGGGAGAAAAGCTATGCAAAGAATGGTCTATTACACCTGTATCTGTTACATTTATGAAGCATTTTTGTCATGTGGGTCACGATGCCTGTGTGGTACCTCTCCATTTCTCCCCCTTCCTAAACAAGGGGATTATGGAGTTAGAAAACACTTGTGGCATGGGGATGCTCAGTGTCTATGAAGGGAGATTTGACAGATTTCCAGGAGAACAAAGATGACAGAGATATGAAGTAGCCTGATGCTCAGCTATGGGGTAGCTTCCAGCATTGCATCATGCTAATGTCATGAGAGCATGACTTTAATGTATAGGGTATAGTATGCAGTTTACCTACCACACTTGCTGATCCCTCAAACTGCATACACACGAAGGGCCTTGGGTTGGGCACTAAGATCCCCCCAGTGAAGGAGGTGAAGGAACTGGATCCATTTCACTCTTGGCAGCCTCCCCCAGCTGTTCCTACTGTTCATGCAGAAGCAGGAACTCTCAGCCTAAACTCCCGGGGACATCAGCAGCAGAAGAGGTAGCATAGGCAGATCAACCACCATTTCCTAAACTAGGGTCCAGGATGCACATCCTGGACAGCCTTCCCTACAGCTCTCCAGCATAAATTCTTCTCTGTTGGACACACTTGAAGAGTCTGACTTAGCTAAGAATTTCTTAAGGAGCAGTGACTTATCAGATAATGTCAAGTCTGAATGCTTCACAAAACTGATGAGGTTTCTGTGGCCCTCTGCAGCATTCACTTGAAGAGAGCTATTTTCCTGCCACCTCTTCTCCCAGGTTGTTCCAGTCTCCCCAGCCTTTCAAAAGTCGAAAGCTCTGGGGCACTAAAACAAAATCTGAAAAGACAAAATTTCTTTCCAATCAGAAGCTCCAGAATCTAAGCCATCCCTACTGCTAGGATCTTTAAAGGTATGTTTTGCCACATTAGCAAAATAGGCTTAATATATACAAAATGACTCAAAGTTTCTTCTGGTTTGTGCGCTTTGAAATTGAGCACTGAAATCGAACTGTTCATTCTGAACAGTGAAAGATTTACAGCCTAAAGGATGTTTTTCACTTCAGAGTTCACTGTAATTTTTAGTATCCAAACCCACTCAAAGTCCTTATCTGGCCACCTACACCTGGATGATGGACGCCTCTTGTAACTGACTTGCCTGTCTCCTTGGGAGATCAGAAATCCCTAGAGAAAGGGCTCTTATTAGTGGCGCTCTTCCCAGGGGTGTTTTAAATTCTCAAGCTACAATAAGTGTGGTAAACTAGTATAATGAAGAACAAAGGGAGATCTCTTTTTTGCTCTCTCTCTGCTGAAATTTTGCAGAATTAGGCTGTTTTATATTAGCACAACACATAAAAATAATTCTCCTGGAATGATTAAAGATGGAAGAGATTTTTATTACGGACCAAGTATGGCTTTATTTGAGTAATACAAATTACTGTTATTTATTCATTATTAGAATAGGAGAAATGTGTTGTATAGTTTTATAAGAATTTTAAGGTGAATGCTATGTTTATTGGATTAGCTGGTTTAAAACAGAAAAGACATGAACTCAAATGATAATACTACCTATTATCTAAAAATTTGTTATCTGAAGTGCTGAATTATAAGGACACTTTCATTTTCAAAGCTGATTCTAGATGTAACAGCAGTAGAAAAGCCCTGTGGATAGAGGAGATCTAGCATCCTAATTTTCGGATGGTAAATTGAGGCATGGAGTGAATTAAGGTCTTGCTCAGGCCACACAGTGAGTTCATGTGAGACGTTAAATTAAAACCCAGGTAGCCCTGACTTCTGTGCTCAAACCATTGCATTTCATCAAATATGCTACAGTACTCAGGCCCCTGCATGAGTTGAATTCCAGGACATGCCACGGCTCTGGCTGCGAACTGCAGTGGGACACAGCAACTACTCTCTCCTGCAACTACTGCAACACACTACTGAGAATAAGAAATATGGGATACCCCGGAGGAATGTAGGAGATATAACAGGTCTGGAAAGTTGATAGGTTTAGACTTACAGTCTAGATCTCCAATCCAGCACAACAGTTTTGAGAATGCTACATAAAACGTACACAGGCATCATCTTTAGAAATCACTGGACATGCTTTTCTTTTGAGATCAGATAAGTGATACACTAGAGTCTTCTGGGGACTCCAGCATTGTATGTGCATTAAACGTCTTAGGCAACTTTGATGGAGGCCCATGTCTACAGGCAACTATCCTTGCCTGATATTCAGCTCCAAGCTACCGGCTTTAATTTGTGTTGTGCTTGGCTTGGGCTAACAAGTAGAGGTGCTGATCACAAGTTAACAGCACGCTGCAGTAACCAAGTCACAATGCTTGGAGTCAATCCAAAAGCCAAATTCTCTTCAACTATGCAAAGAATGTTGTATATTTTTTCAGTTTGTCAAGATTTATGTCCTTCAATGAGAAACAATTGCACAAATAAATGAGTATTAAATTTTGTTTGAAGTGCATTTTTTCAGACTGAAAGCATTTTTTTCCTTGGCATTTCTAATGATGTATTTGCCAAAGCTTCTGTTGTTTTCTGTTTTCAAGGGCAAGCTCTCCCGTGATAGAGCAAACTTAGATGAAGGGGGTGGGGGAAGCTGTCCATTAAACAGCTAGAATTTCATGGCAGTAGAAAAGCATGTTTCAAAAGCCAGTGCTGAGGAAATTCCATTAAAATTCCTATGGTGGGATCAGGGGATGGGAAGGATCAATGCCCCGTCATGAGTGTAAAGAGGCACGAAGTGATGTTCCACAGACAGCAAAGTCTCAGGATTCCAGCTGCTTGTAATTGCTAAACACAGAATAACACAGAAGTCAAGCACAAGTTTTTTTGTGGATAAGTGTAATGCATTTACTGTACTGCTATTTGTGGGATCTTCTTTACAAACATTCAGGGGACTGCTAATTTCTTTGTGAAAATGAGGGCAACTCATAACTTTAGCATGACTACTACTCATTTGACAAAAATCTGTGCCCTCTGAGTAGGAGATTTCTTACTCAGCATGTGCTGTTCATTTCAGATTGTTTACTTTTTGAGATGGGACTGTATTTTGACAGAGGCTGACTGATGTGCTTCAGAACTACAGTAATAGTAATATTAAAATTATTCCTGTTGCAAATATTTCAGTTACCAAATTGTGGAGCGAATGGAAGGACCAATTAGGGATTATGATTAATCACTAGTAAATAGTCCATGTGCAAGGTTTGCTTGTTTGTTCTGTCTCTTTAGTGAATACTAATAAATTATTATTACATTAACAGAAAACAGAATCAAAGAACTTTAAATCCCTCATTTCACAGCTAAAATATTACCGTTGTGAGTTTTGGCATTTTAACAGAAGTGCCTTGAACTGACAGAAAAAAGTGGAAGAGACATACTAGTCAATCTATTTCCTCAAACTGTCTTGTCTTGATAAGGTGGAACATTGAAAATACCTGAACAATGGCAGTTCCCACCAACTTACATGAAACTGATCCGAGTGCTTTGCAAATCACAATAAAAAAAACCCACAAAGTGTACCACCTTTTAACTGCTTCCCTTTATCCAACAACTCTCCATGAGGATAATCATATTAACCTGACACTCCAGTCTCTGGCACTGGATGCATAGAGGAATAATTTTGAGCGACCATGGTGCTTTAAATGTTACTTCTGGCCATTCAGACAAACACAGATTGGTCTCCTGGGAGACAAGCCAACAGTGAGACAGTGAGGTTTGTGTGAACCACAGGAAAAATTTTCCCATATAATGGACCTCTGGATCTTTTCCAGCAATTTTCCTTTTCTAGTTTCTGACCCAAGTTTTTATCCTGCTCCTCATTCTGCCAGTGTGAGAAAGGGGAGAAAAAGATGAGCCGGGAGCCACTGGCAGTAAACAAGGATCTCAGAACAAAGAGTTTGCACCAATCTGACTACCAAGTCCAAACAGCATTAGAATAATTCCAGTGCAGTAAGGACCGTGCTAGCATTTAGTGAGGTGGGAATCTGGAGAGAACAGTAATGTTGCAAAAGCATGAACATAAAGAACAGTATTTTTTTGGAAAATTGTTTCCATAAACAAAGTAATACTGATACTTGATGCAGTAATGCAGGGCATATTCGTATCACTTAGACAATGATGTCCCAAAATATCTGTGTTCTTATCAGTCTTTTAACCTGCATCTGAATCTACCTCACATATAAAGGTGTTTAAACTTGTTTAAACTTAAACTGTGTTAAAACTTGATGGCAGACCTCTCCCAAGATAACAGTGCCCATTACTTTCTCCTCCACCACACCAACACTGTGGTGCCTGCTCAGTGAACTCAAGAAACATATGGTGCCTGCTAAGACAACATCTCCAGCTCCCAGCTTACTTCCAGACTCTCCCAAGGGCTTCATGGGAATAGAAAGGAGTTGGGCTGTGAACTGGATGAAATGGTCGTATCTCTGAGTCTCCTCTTTTCTTGAGACCTACCAGAAATAGGCAGGAACTCACTTGCATTTGCATATGTGTGTGAGCTGTGAATCTAAAGCTCCCAGGTAGTGCAGGATGGTCACATGCTAGAGAAAGGACCCTGCAACTTACAGATTTCACTTGCTACTAGAATAAGCTATGTGGTCTGCCCAGCTAGAAAAGTCAGAGCTACAGCAGTTGGAGCTCTACAGCAAAGTAGCTCAAGAATTAGTATTTATGCAGTGAAGAAAAGTCTAGCTACAGGTGCAATTCCCCGTTTCAATTCTACTCTATTATAATTTTCCTTCTCATTCTCCTGTAGTATAAAACAATATCAGAAACATCAAGGTTTACATTAACATAT